CACGTCGATGCGGCCCACGCGCTTGCTCAGGAGCACGTCGACGCCAGGTCGCGCACCTGCTCAACCACCATGGCGCCGGCGTCGGCGTCCAGCTGGCGGCTCAGCACCCAGCTGTTGCGCTCGACGACGGTCACCTTGTCGTAGCACGCGAGGTCCAGCATCGCCTTGGCCGCCTCCAGCCCGAGCAGGCCGCCGCCGACGACTGCCCCTGTGGTGCCCTTGCGTGTCGCCGAAAACGCAATCAGCCTCTCCAGGTCGCCGATGGTCCGGTAGACAAAGACGCCGTTGGCATCGTGGCCTGGCGTGTGCTTTGGCAGCACGGCATCGGATCCCGTGGCGAGCACCAGGATGTCGTATGAGACCTCTTGGCCATCCGAGCACACCACTCGTTTCCTGTCCGGCTGGATCTCGGTGACTGTTGTGTTGAGGTGGTACCCCAAGGCGTTGTCCTCGACGGCATCATACTACAAGGGCAAGCCGGCAGTCAGCGAGCTGTCTAGCTGGCAACCAGTAGATGCAGTGGGTTCAGGGGGCGAGGGAGACACAACTCACCCATTCTTTTGGGTTCAGGTACAGACTGTCGACCTGCCGATGCTCAAAGAAGCTGGTGAGGCCGACGCGGTTGTATGCCAGATATGGCTCCTCGCCGATGACCACAATGTCGTACTCTCGAGAGCGGGCGTCGAGTTTGAGCAGCTTCTCGATGAAGCTGATGCCCACCATGCCCAGGCCGACCACCACGACCTTTGTCCGGTTACCGTTGCCGACAGCCATGGCGCCGGGGCAGCGTTCAGCTGCTAGCTACGTGGCGTTTTGCCAGAAAATTTGTGGTAATACGGCTTTTCAAAACAGGCAAAACAAGCAAGATAAGATGCGGAAACGTTTGCAAACGGATGGCGGTCGCCGTCTACTAGACAGACGTATGAAATCGTGCTGTCAAAAAATGGGGGTATCACAAGAGCTCAGATAGGGAGAAAGAAAAGAGAAACCAGCTTGGATTCTTAGGGGCGGTTGAGGCACAGGACCGTCTAATAAGAGGGCTACCCAGATAGAGCGGATAAGGAACGCAACGGGAAGGGGGTGGGTTGATAGTCATGCTTCCGCATACGGAGGCGTAACGCATGTTTAGCGTACGTCAGAGCCTATGGGTTAGAAATTGGCCGCACGCACGGTTTCCTGATATCGCCGGGAGGACAAAGAAAAAAAAGGGGTAGATCTACGCATCTCCGGCAGAAACGTTCCGCAGGTGTCCAGCAGCGGGGGCGAAGTGAGCGGTCTTTAGCATCCGGAAATACCCTGGACGGACCCGTTCTCACCCAGAGCGGAGCGAGTGGAACAGAAACATGCGACCAGTTGAACGTGGCCAAGTTCTAGACGGCTTAGATTGCCACACTTCTCCGCGGCGGAAGGTCAGGCAAAAAAAAAAGTCTGGATTTCCGAGCAAGCATGTGGCACGGCAGCAAAGTTTGGAAGCCTGGCCTGAACGGGACGGACATATCTGCCTGCTCCGTGAGCGCCATGCAGGCAGGCGCAGCCCATGGGCCGATAAGGACAGAGAGAGGAACGGCGGCGTCCGAGCGATTGTAATGTAATGGATATAAGACGGTCCCTGGCGAGGACGCCGATCAATGGCCAGATAACAGAACGAGCGGCTCCTGATATCCGCTCGACGTGGGTTGATAAGCCCCCAGCTGTGGGCCAATCAGGGCCGGGCAGCCGCCTTCCCGGGTCCCACATGGCCCGCTGACGTTTTAGGGCCGCGGAGAAGCGGTCTGCTGGATGTTCCCACGGCCGCCTCGGCAAGACCTAGCCAGCCCCCTTGCGTCCGATTGTTTGGCGGGTGATTTTCGAAACCGATCCCGACTGGTGTATTTCAGGCGCAAAATATAAAATCTCGACTCGCAACCCCGTTTAGAAAAGCATATTTTGGTAGCTTGTACCTTATTCGGATGTATGGGAACTGACTCCTGCACGCCATCCACGTGCCAGATGCACAGAAAAGAAAACCAATCCCGCGGAACTGCCCCTGTCCGGAGACTTCTCGGCATGGACACACAGCGACGCCGCTGCTGCACCGGGTGCTCCCGAGTAAAACACGACGGTGCCCCCACGATTTGATCATCTCCGGCAAATCCTGTTGGACGGGGTGGCGGGTGGGATGGCACGTCCGCAAATAGAAGCTGCACTGCTGGGGAGGAAACAAGCCCAAGGAAACACACCGGGAAAGGGTATGAAAACATATTAAAGAAAGAGAAAAAAAAATAAGAAAGGAACCTGAGAGATGGCAAGTCAAGGTAACGGGATTCCGAGTAGCGTCATCGGAAGTGCAGATCTATCTGACCGCCAACGAAGGTGACGATGGGTGCAGCACAAAGATGCAATGCAACGTGGCAAGGGGCAAAAAGCACGACAACGACGCGATTCGAACGCGCGCGCCCGAAGGCATTGGCTTTGTTACTCGGCTGGGTTACCCAATAGCAGGCCAACGGATTAACCACTCTCCCACGTTGTCTGTGGGTGGCGGTGAGGAGGCGTTGTGGGGGTTATAGACTCAACGTCACAACTTGCCAAGCACAACGATCTCTGCGCTGCTTCGGCATCCTTGACCTCTTTTTACCCTGGTTTCATTATTAGATTCCAAAAGGTCCTCTCGTTTCGTTTCGTCGAATGCAGGTTTTTCTTTTCTTTTCTTTTTATTTCAAAAGCTGGCCATCCATAGGGGGTTCACTGTCCAGCGGCATTTGTAACACCGAGTTTCAAAATCAACCCCACATCGGAGAAGCGCAACTTTAACAGCATCGTCATCTTGATTAACATGGGATTATCCAACCACATTATGTATGAAGAGAAAAAGACAAACTATGCTCTGATCCACCCAAATTGGTATACCTTGGAAATCAGTAAAGGCCGCCCGCCCGCCCGAGAAATAAAAATAAAATAGAATAGAAATGTGAGCGATTTACCGTGTCCCACTCCCCCCAGCCTCATCGCTGCTGTCAACGCCCGCGCCGCCGCCAGCGTGGTGGTTGCCGCCGCCATTGTTGCGCCGGACAGCCGCCTTCATGACGAGCAGGCTGGCCTTGAGGCTGTTGGCGACCAGCTGCTCGGCCACCAGCCCAAGCGTGCCCCTCAGGTCCTCCTGGTGGTTCTGTTGGTCGGCCGCGGGCGCGCTCTTCTTCTCGCCGGGCAGGCCGACGTGCCTGCGACCGACGACGACGA